CATTGCAAGCCTTCCAACACCTCTGACACCCCTGGTTTACACAGGATCACACTTGCAATGACACCAAGTTGTAGAAAGGCAATTTAATATTTACTAGAAGCTTTCAAGTCAACAAAGACAAAAGATTGTTAGTGCATCTAACTTTTAGTATGAGCAGATTAGTCTCTAAGGGCTCAGGTCACAGATGTACAATAAAGGTGAATCACACAGCAACTACAATTAGGCCCTTAAAGAACCTATGGCCCCAAGTATAAAAAGAAAAGGGAAGACTTTCCTGTGTCAATCCTTCCCTTTAAAGTCAAGACAGGCCCAAACTAACCATAGAGCACACCAGGCATTTGCCCAGTGGGCTGGGGCTGCAGGGCCGCAAGTCCTAAGAAGAATGGCCTGTGGCAGGAGGTAAACATTGACCGCGGTTTACCCAGGGCTTACACAAACTGCGGCCGCCACTTGTCTCCCGCTATGCCTAAAGAATTGGCAGCATTAGGTGCAGAAGGCGGGAGAGACAGCTCCAGAGACATGCAGGAAGAGTTTGCAGGGAACCACTACAGATACACTGGAAGGATAATGGTGGCCTCTCTCTTTCACCTGCTGGCACACTGTGACAGCTGCCAAGGGTGGCTAGGGCTGTCACACACTGGGAGCTAGGTGAGCGCACTCAACCCTACACTGATCCAGTGTTACAACCAAACAGCCGTGCTCTATAGTGGCTGTGGCTTGGGCTGTCTCTCTGCTGGAGGCTGTCTCTTTGCTTGATGGGCTGTCTCTTTGCTGGATGGGGCTGTCTCTTTGCTGTATTGGGATGTCTCATTGCGGGATTGGGTAGTCTCTTTGCTGGATGGGGATGTCTCTTTGCTGGATTGGGCTGTGTCTTTGCTATATGGGGATGTCTCTATGCTGGATTGGGATGTCTCTTTGTTATATGGAGCTGTCTCTTTGCTGTATTTGGATATCTCTTTCCTGGATTGGGCCACCTCTTTGCTGAATATATGACTTTTGCATGACTACAAGGGGCACTGTGATGAAGGGCTGTGATTACTAGGGGCACTGTAATGTAAAGGGGCACTGTGATATAAAGGGCACTGCACTGTAAAGGGGTACTGCATTGATTATCCCAGTCCAGGCGCCTGAGTCCTAATGTCACAGGCCCAACAAACATCAACACAGTTTATAATAAATCAATAAAGGAGTATTGCAGTAAACTATTCTGGGTGTTAATTTCCCCTAAAATACACAGCAGTGAAGCACAAAGTCGTGAAGACAAGGGAGAAGAGTTTTGGCAATGGAATGTGTCCCAAAATCTTCAGCTAGCTCAGTCAGGGTCCAAAGTGATTGCTGTAAAATGGAGACCAGCAACAGGGAATAGGATATGCTAGTGTTTTCTATTAGAGCAGTTGTGGTCTAAGGAGGTGAAGTAAAGGTGTCTGCATGCTATGTCTTTGAAAGAGTGTACTCAGTGTGAGCCTCTGCCAACTCACCAATCCTAAAGATACTGAGTCTCAAGGGATGGAGTCATTTTGGAAAGGCTCTTGAAGGATCCGGGCCCAGGGAGAAGCACCTGAACCATGCACCTGGTGACGCTGAGCTTCAACTTGGCCTGCCGCAGGGACGATGCGAGTGACCCTGGGCAGTCACTCGATCAGCAGGGTGATTGAACAAATGGTCTACCTGCCAGTACACAGTTCACCCGCTGGCGGTTTCCCATTCTGTCAAGGCCACAAGGCCTGATCTATCTCTCCAGAGCCTTTGGGCCCCTGATTTCAGCCTCTGGCGGCAGTTCCAAGAGAGCAAGCTTCTCCTGGGCCTGGCCTTATATAACCTCCCCAAGAATCCCCACTTCTTTCCAGTTGGCTGGACCTGGTAGTTTTTTGGCAGCACTGGCTCCATGCAGAGACCCAACTGTCCCACAATCCCTTGCTTTCAATAGCGGTCTTCTCTCACTGGTTTCAGGGCACAAGGTTACAGTTACAAGCTTGGTACTAGAGGTAAACAAGTCCAAGACAGTCATTAGTTAAGAATGTCTCCCAGTCATGCAAGTGAACTAGCCAGCACTTGGCTACATGAGTTTTGAGAAAAAGCAAAAATAAATCAGCTAGTTGAACTTCGGTCGATATTACTACCACCATTAAATGTGACAGCTTCTCCTCTGGCTAGTTGTGAGGCAACTGGCAGATGTTATTGTCACACAACCATGATTCATTCCTGGCCTACGCATTCAGCCTTCATCCAGAGAATCTCAGCAGATAGTAGAATGCAAACAAAGGGCAGGGATTGTGTACAAATGAAAAAATATGCTGGCAAAGCACCTTATCCCTATGTTGATGAAGACAAAGGGCTTTTTCCCCACAACGCTGACACCACCCCCATTGTTAAAGGGGGCAATAAGCCTCGCCCACAGAACTCCACATCAACCAAGCCAGAGTTGTGGGGAAGAGGCCCTAGTGCTGATTAACATTGGGACAAGGTGGTTTGCCAGAGCTTCCCACTCGGCAAGGTGGCCCCTCATGTTAAGGGCATGTGACCTGGTATGGTTCAGGAAGGGGGAAGTTGCACATGTGTTTCCCTCCCTTCCTGGTCAGCCAGGCTGCATAATCAGATATGGGTGTGGGGTGAATTTTGGGGGGAGCCCATGCATACCATGTGTTGGGTCACCTTTGACAATCAACCCTTAACAATCATACTAGGCATTCATAATTAATAAGGGTGAGAAATGTATTTTTACGGAAGGCTACACAATATTTTTTTTTACTTGAGGTCCTCCATTAACTTCTATACTGGACCCCCATCTAGGATAGTTGTCTTGTATAGATGAAGGGAATCCCCAGCTGCTTTTTTTTACAGACAGAAGAGGCTGAAGTTGTCATTTACTGGCAATATAGATAGCATTTGTTTTTCCTTGTAAAATTCAGGTTTGGTGCAGTGGGTTGTATAAATCATACAGATGCACCACTTCACAGGCAGGTTAATGTAATCCCCCAGGCGTGTCATTTTAAAGGTATTGTGCATTTTTAATGCTGCCCTTTAAGCATTATAACAAATCGCTGCTCCCCACCAAAACAGAATTTTTTAAACATTTTTTTTGCTTTGGTACATGCTCCCCAGGGCAGTGTCACCATGCCGTTTGTTTAACAATTCCCTGCCTGTTAGCCTAGAAAATGGGCACTAACATTTGACACCAATGGGTTTCAGATTCAACACCAGAACTTTTGTTTGCCAAACCCTGGTTCTTTTAGTTCCTTTCTACTGGGGACTATGGAAGACCTTCCCACTGGTTTTCCAAGCTCCACCAGCCTTCTTTATCAAAGTTGAGGTGACAAACCTTTTTTACCTTTTAAGCAACGATTCAAAATGATAACCTTAGCAAAGGGGGAAGGGTGTGATCCCCATCCAGTTTGAATAAGGTGTATGGCACCCAAGCAAGGTTTCCATATCACTTGGTCCTTACCAATTCTCCAAATACACATGCTGTCACTCAGCAACAGGCATGTTAAACAACCCAGAGATGTCAGCCCAAAAAGTGAGAATCTGTTTTAGGTGAACCTAAAAATGTATAAAGTATAATCACCTGTTATTGGGCCTGCTGCTCATAATGCAATTATTCATAGGCTACACCTGTTTAAAGGTCAACAGCATGTGCAGTTGTGTTAGAGTGCAAACATTGCGCCCATTATGTATATTATTATACAACCTTTCACTGTCTACTTCCAGCTCAACTTTGCTTCCCGTTTCTACTATTCACTTGGGTTTATGTAAAGTGAAATAAAAGTTAGCCCATTTGTTTGAGATGTTATGATTAATTAGTACATAGAATACAAGCTAATTGTCATCTCCAAGCATAGACCCTATAAATAGCCAAGTCTGTACAATAAATGACACCAGGGAACCTCACAAGTTACTCATCATATCTGCTGACGTGTGTATTGTTCATGCTTGCAAGGAACAGTTTTTGTACTAAGCAATCACTTATCTTTGCTGGATAAGCAACTCTTCAATCAACAGTCTCTCTCCAATTGTTCAGGATTTTGAAAAAGCAAATTGCTCTGCCTATAAAGCAGAAGACAAATGTTGGGCCTACCAATATACATTGGACTAAAATTATAAATGGTATGGTGTTCATTTTATTATCTCACTTGCATTGACAGCAATAATCTGATTTGTTGTCAATATAGGTGTGTTATGTAGGTGTACTGTGGTGTGGCGGGTGTAATGACACTGAGGCTCAGGATGCACAGAAACAAATGTATTAGAAAGTCGTGGATCAGGTACAAAAAGCTGGCAGGTTGAGACACCCATCAAGGAACTCACCATCAGTGGTGGTAGGCCCGAGCTGAAGAGAACGCTTGCCAAGGAAAATGGAGTGTGGAGTAGCCGCCCAAACCAAGAGGGACCTTGGGGAAGTATAGGCGTAGGCCCTGCTCTTTACCTACTCCACTGGAACCTCCCCCTACCACTAATACTGTTCCTGATAGACAAGTGAGCTCTCCCTACACTAGCCACTTCGCAAAAGCACGGCAAAACCTAGGGCCAGGAATTTAAAAAGACTCTGCTTGACCCAAGATGATCATCAGGGTCACCTGAATGCAGCATGGCCACCTGGAATGCTGCTCCAGGAGGCAGAGAAAACCATAGAGTATCCAAGTCTCTCCTGACTTCCTCTCCAAATGCAGTACTGCTCTGGTCAAGCGCCACCTACAGTGGAGAAAACAGACTGCACCTGCCTACATGTGTGTAGGGGATTCAGAGTAACGAACATGGAATTCAGGTCAGAAATATTTCAGTATGCAGAAATATACAATACATCTGACTTCCTTCAAAGCTGTTTTTAGATTTAACCACTAGCCTACAGGGCACTTATACCCCTTCCTGTCCAGGCCAATTTCCAGCTTTCAGTGCTGTCACACTTTGAATAACAATTGCGTGGTCATGCAACACTGTACCCATATGACATTTTGTGACAAATAGAGCTTTATTTTGGTGGTATTTAATCACCTCTGGGTTTTTTATTTTTCTTAAACAAACCAAAAACCACTGAAAATGTTGAAAAAAAAACATTTTTTCTTAGTTTTTGTTATAGAATTTTGTAAATAAGTGATTTTTCTCCTTCACTGATGTGCGCTAATGAGGCTGCAGTGATGGGCACTGATAGGCTGCACTGATGGACACTGATAGGTGGCACTGATGAGGAGGCACTGGTAGGTGGCACTGATGGGCATTGACAGGCATCACTGATGGGCACTGAAAGGCAGCACTCATATATGGCACTGATAGGCGGCACTGACTGGCACTGATAGGCAGCACTGACGGGCACTGATAGGCGGCACTGATGCACATTGATAGGCGGCACTGACTGGCACTGATAGGTGGCACTGATTGGCAGCACTGATAGGTGGCACTGATTGGCATTGATAGGTGGCACTGGCTGGCACTGATGGGTGACACTGAAAGGCAGCTCAGATGGGCACTGATATGCGGCTTTGATGTGGCACTGATGGGCACTGGCACACTGATCATCAGTGCCCTGATGATCAGTGTAGATGGCCCCTCTGAGGGTTGCCAATTACCGGCTCTGCTCTCTTCTCGAGCTGTTAGCGTGACAGCTTGTGAGGAGAGAAATGCCGATAAATGGCATTTCCCTATTTACATGTGATCAGCTATGACTGGACACAGCTGATCACATGACTGAGCAGTCATCTTTGGCTCTTTCCGTTGATCGGTGATCCGCACCACCAATCGCCGCGCTGCGCGCTCTGGGAGTCACGCATGCGCGGTTAGAATGGGAGGATGTCTAAATGGCGGGTGGGAGGCAGTTAAATTGGTTCCTCTTATATTGTAAGCTCCAATGAGCAGAGCCCTCCTACCCCTCTTGTATTGAACTGTATTGTCGCTGTATTGTCTCCCTTTATTTTGTAAAGCGCTGAGCAAACTGTTGGCGCTATATAAATCCTGTATAATAATAATAGTAATAATAATATAGACAAAAAACACTATTCACTCACAGCTTCAGTGTACAATGTGTGGCTATGTCCTCTGATCTTGTCATTGTACAACACTGGTTGACTGGCATTGAAAAGGGGGGGTAATACAAGACAATTGGCCAAGGGTAGGCAGTTAGTATATATCTAACCCCAATGGACAGAACTCATTCGGTCCTACAAGGTCTGCCTTTTTTTTGGAGCTAGCCATATATGCAAAGAGCAGTGGCCTTATGTTAGAGTAGATCAAATCCCAATTCAAATGGCAAAATAAAGCTCATGTATGAGCAATTAGAAGACCAGTCTCTGCCTTGTAAAAGATATGGCAAGGTATAAATGTTCTAATCATCTGTGTTGATATAAGAAGGACAAGAGATGGTACCACTTAAGATTCTACACGGGTGGTAAAGAGGAGATTCATGACATTTGCTAATAACTGACTGTGTGTCTTGGATGAACATGGAATTGTTCTGAGGTCTGATCATTCACTAACAATGAGATCCCCTTGTGTCGGGTTGGTTTTATTAAACCGGCACAGAAGACGCTGTACTGAGGAAGAAATCCAATAATAGCAATGTTTGAGAGCACTGCTTTCTTTTTTTTTTCCCACAGATATGCTTTGGAAAGCAGCTAAATTGGAGAAAAAAACTAAAGGGCAATATTTTTGGAAATGATTGAATTATGAGTTTTTGTGTTAAGTGTTAAGCTTGATAATATTAGAGCAATTATCAGTGTATGAGTTTCACCTTAAGGTTTTTATGGTCACAATGGATATGCTAATGTCAGCTCAAGTATGCCAGAAAAGGAAAGATCTGCTGACTGTATTATTTCTGTTGTGGATGATAATGTAATTGAGCTTGTTATCTCTATTCAATTATCTCATTACAGACCCGGGTCAAATTACTTGCAACATTTCTTCATATAAGCATCCTATCCATAGATATTGTACTAGTGGAGTACATGACTATCTCCTGTAAAGGTTTAAAATTTCAATTAATGTTACCATGCACACTAGATGGAGGTGGGTAAAATGCACTCTGCTCCTTTTTATCAGATGAAGTTTTAGCCCTGGTTCACACTGATGCGTTTTTTCTTTTTTTGTAAATTCTTTATTTGTTGGTCAAAGAATTCGGCAGTACTGATGCATTATTCAATGAGGTTCAGATCGCATTGAATTGCATGACAAGTGAAATAACATGAGTTTCTATGGAGCCTGTTCACATACATGCAGCACAAATGCAATACGATTTTGCAAAAGGTCCTGTCCGAGTCTGTAGAGATGCAGTGCAATTTAGATTTCAATAGAAATGGTTTTAAATCGCTTATCGGTCCTATTATCATACAATTGCAGCACATTTTTTTCTCCAGTCTTTGCTCTCCTCCTGAGAAAGAGGTTCTAATCTTTCAAATTCTCTAATTAGGAATTGACAGGCTCACAATGGTACAGCTATGTGTGACTTTGCTGGCTGAAAACTCAAAAATAGAGATCAAAACCTAAAACACACGTCACTTTGCACATGCACATTTTTAAAATGCTTTGAATGAGGTTATGCATATGTACTCACCTACTCGATTATTTATTTCAGGTACTTGTATAGTGCTGTCAGTTTACGCAGTGATTTACATATATATTGTACATGCACATTGTCCCTAACCCTCAGGGAGAGTACAATCTAAGGTCCATAACTCACATTCACACATTGTCAACAAAAGTTGAGTTATTGGTTAAAGTGGCCCTTGGCCTACCAGCCTTTACTGTATCTGTTTATTGCATAAAGTGGAGGTCCAACAAAAAAAGTATTTTCCAGTTCTGCATACAGTAGAGAAGAGTTAGATCCCTTGTTGGGTTTCACTTGCATGACTAGGGCACAACAGATTTCCTCACTCTTTCACCAAAAGGACTGCTATGTACCTCTCCTCCCCATATCTGCTGTTCCGCATATACCTGGAAAAATAGTCCGACACGAATTTGGAGTGAAATTGGCCATAGCAGCCCTTTATTAACAATAACAATATAAACATTCCTTTAACCGCTTCCCATCCACAGAAGTACTGCTACAGGGAGGCACGGGTGCGCAAAATCACCTATATGTATATATACGTGATTTTGCTTTTCCGGGTAGGGGCATGCGTGCCTTACCCGCACTGCCATTCGCAGCTGTCAATCACTGGGTCCTGGCCGGTGATTACTCATGATTACTCTCCAACGGGGGGAGAACTGTTAGTAAACAAAACCGTTCTCCTCTCTGTCAGCTTGTGTACACTGCTTTGTATGGCTGTGCACAGTATAGGCATGCAAAGCAGTGTGATTACAGTGAAGCACTAACACACAGCCCCTAGTAAAACAGTACATAGCTAACCCTTTGCCCCACATGTTAAAGCGGAGTTCCACTCACTCTGTAAAAAAATAAAAGTCAGCAGCTATAAAAACTGTAGCTGCTGACTTTAAAAAAACGGCCACTCACCTGTCCCACTATCCCGCGTTGCCCCCGCCGCAGCCCATTTCACCGGCCGTCCTGTATTCCAGGCGCTGGCATCTTCAGTCTGGGCACCCGGCTGTGATAGCCTGCAGCTTCACAGCTGGGTGCCCGCTGCGCATGCGCAAGTAGCGCTGCACTTCCTAAATGGCCCCATCGTCTTCTGGGACCTGTCACGTGTCCCAGAAGACTTCGGGGAGGGAGGGTAGAAGGACAACTTCCGTTTCAGATCGCCTAGGTCAGTGGTCGGCAAGCCGCGGCTCGCGAGCCACATGCGGCTCTTTACAGACTTTAATGCGGCTCTTCTGTGTGCCGGGCGCCCGCTCCCCTCCCTCCTCTCGGGCGGTCGCCCCAAAAGTCAGGACTCTGCAGCTAGCCCAGCAATGGGCAAACTACGGCCCGGCGGACCTTTTAATCCGGCCCGCGGAGCGTGGCAAACATTGGCTGTCAGGATGTAGGCGGGGCAGCGTGACAAACTCCTCTCCTCTCACAGTCCGCCCTGAAGACCGGAACGGCACGGGAACACGGCGAGAGGAACGCGCGGAGCAAAGGTAAGTGAATTGACACAATATGGGGAATGAATTACTATAGGGGGGATGAATTACTATAGGGGGGGATGGATTACTATATGGGGGATGAATTACTATGGGGGATGAATTACTATGGGGGATGAATTACTATGGGGGATGAATTACTATATGGGGGATGAATTACTATGGGGGATGAATTACTATATGGGGGATGAATTACTATATGGGGGATGAATTACTATGGGGGATGAATTACTATATGGGGGATGAATTACTATGGGGAATGAATTACTATGGGGGATGAATTACTATATGGGGGATGAATTACTATGGGGGATGAATTACTATATGGGGGATGAATTACTATGGGGGATGAATTACTATATGGGGGATGAATTACTATGGGGGATGAATTACTATATGGGGGATGAATTACTATATGGGGGATGAATTAATTACTATGGGGGATGAATTACTATATGGGGGATGAATTACTATGGGGGATGAATTACTATATGGGGGATATGGGGGATGAATTACTATATGGGGGATGAATTACTATGGGGGATGAATTACTATAGGGGGGATGAATTACTATGGGGGATGAATTACTATATGGGGGATGAATTACTATGGGGGATGAATTACTATATGGGGGATGTATTTTCAGTTTTAAAAATGTGGCTCTCAAAATAAATTTCAATCGTGGTTTTGGCGAGATTTGGCTCAGTTGAAAAAAAAGGTTGCCCACCACTGGCCTAGGTGATCGCAGCGGAAGTGGGAGCGGATACCTGTCAAATTCAGGTACCCACCCCCCCCCCCCCCCGCGCCCCAAAGGTGCCAATCCTTAATAGGGAGCGGGGGACCAATCTTTAAAGCGGAACTTCCCCTCTTAGGTAGAGCTCTGCTTTAACTCTTTCCTATGCAGTGCCATTAGTAGAGTGTCAGTGCTTTTTATTAGTACTGATCACTGTATTGGTGTCACTGGGGATGTCAGTGACACCAAGTCAGTCCCCCCGCCACCCCCAGTGTCAGAATGCCCGCTGCAGTACCGCTATACGTCGCTGATTGCCGCCATTACTAGTAAATATTGTAAAAAAAAAAAAATCCCAGTATACTGCCATTTGTAGACACTATAACTTTCACGTAAACCAATTCATTGACACATATTGGGATTTATTTTAGCAAAGACATGTAGCAGAATACATTTTGGCCTAAATTTATGACAACATTTTTTTAAATTTTTTTACAGGGCATGTTTAATAGCAAAAAGTCAAAAATATAGTTTTTTTCTCAAAATTGTCGTATTTTTTTTTATAGTGCAAAAAATAAAAAACGCACAGGTGATCAAATACCACCAAAAGAAAGCTCAATTAGTGGGAAAACGGTTCTAAATTTCATTTGGGTGCAGCGTTGCATGACCGCACAATTGTCAGTTAAAGTAACGCAACCCTGCAACGCAGAAAATGGCCTGGTCAGGAAAAGGGAGTAAATCCTCTTGAGGGCAAGTGGTTAAACAGAAATATAATAAGGATCATAACACTAGTAACAAAGGTTGCCAATCTTTGGAGACCCTAAAGAACAAACCACAGTTCATCAGCAGAAACACTTAAAGGTCCCCAGTTGCAACGCATTGGCTCGGGGACAAGCCCAACTCTCCGCCAACACCTCCATGTCCAAAATTCCCAGCTAACCCATTGTTAGTTGGGATACCACCGAGGACGCCATACCATAGATGGGTCCTTACACTGAAGTATCACAGTAGAAT